GAGGCCGCCACTGGCACGGCCGAGGCCAGATCGGCGTCAGGCTGCACCAGAGACAGGCCCAGAACGACGATGCTGACGCCGGTGTTCTGCACACCGGTCTCAATGGCAATGGCCACCAGGTCCTCGTGTGGCTTGCGGAAGGCCGCCGCGAGGAGGTAGCCAATGGCCATGCCGCTCCAGACGTTGCCCGCCGTCGCCACCAGCATCCGCCAGTCCATCACCTTGAACATGTAGAGGTTGGTGTACGTGCCGAAGATGATGATGAAGATGATCATCGCCACGGAGAAGGGCGCCAGGATGCGGCGGCAGACCTGTTTAGAAGGAGATAACAAATGGTCAGTTGATGACACGAAAACTCGAAACTGCCCACACTCACATTAGCCAGCCGTGGAACATATCGCTTGATAGTGAGACCGATGCCCAGGAAGATGAGCATTGAGCCGAGCGTGGTGAGGATACTGCGCACCGGGGGCACCGTCGTCGTGTCCACCCAAATCGTCCGCCCCAACGTGTACAGCCAAAAGGGCATGGCCGCGAAGGAAAGCAGCGTACTGAGGAAGGTCATGGTAATGCTCAGGTTGAGGTTGCCACCGAGCAGGACGGCCCACATGTTGCTCGCGCCGCCGCCCGGGCTGCAGCCAAAGATGAAGAGGCCCAGCTTGAGGTAGGTCTCCTCGAACATGAGCGTCGCCAGGCCGTAGGAGATCTAAAGAGAGAGAGGGTTGAAATAGGTAAATTGAACCGTACAAACAGTCATTTAGAAACTTACCAGGGGCATGCAAACGTACTGTGAGAAGAAGCCGATACCAGGGGCCACCGGCCGCCTCAGCACCTGCTTCACCTCGTCCATGTCGAGGGCGCAGCCAAAGTTGATGTAGGAAAGCGAAACGACGATGGCCACCGAGTAGATGAAGATCTTCTGCATCAGGTCCTTGTCACGAATCACGCTGACCACCAGTTGGTAGGTGTTGCTCAGCGCCGGGTCGTTGTACAGCGAGGCAAAGTGACCGCCACTGGAACTCTTGTTCGTCCCCGCCACATCTTTCACCACCTCCATGCGACTGTAGCCGAGAAAGTTGGCCCGAATCTGAAAGGAACCATCGTAGCGCGTCCCATTTTCTTTTAGATCTTCTGGCCTCAAGTTAAAAGAGCTATCTTCAGGCCGCACGTCTGCCACATCAGCCCGGTCGGCGATCACATGGTACGAGCCGAGCAGCGTCTGATCGAATGAGGACTTCCCACCTCCAAAGGCGACAGAAGGTCGTCCGCTGAACTGCAGCGTAAAGTTGATCACCTGCGTCTGACCCTCGTGCAGCTGAGTGCTGTTCGGGTGGAAGGTCACCGAGATAAGGGCAGAGGTGAGCTGGGCGAAGAGCACCAGCAATGAAAAGATGAACGTCAGTATGAAGAAGGGACACATTGTACGATTGGTGGTGGACGCTGTTGCCAGCTACAGCGACAGCCTGCGTATGATGAGTTGTTCAGTTCGAATTGCAACAGCAGCTCGTGCTAAGCTTGGGCGAGACCGAAATTTGTAACGCTGCTCGCCTGCTCGGACGTGATCAAGGTTGAGAGTATTATGCACTACCAGTCGTATTAATAATGATGTTGTGAGGTAAAAAGGCAATAGCAAAAACGGTGGTGGTGTACGTGAGTAAAGATGAAAAGGTGGTGGAGGTGGTGTGAAAAAAGGTCTGTGGCCAATATAAAAAATGTGCCGTATATCACCGCCGCCGCTACTAAAACAAAGTTTGTTCTCCTCTCGTTAGACGACGATTACTCTGCGGCTGATGAGAGAGGTGATGGCAAATAATCGTAAAACAGTTGATGCACCATCAGCTGCCTCAAAGTGAAGTGTGTCTGAGCATTGTACTCTTTTTCTCCTCTCGCTCTCTCCTGCTTTCTTCTAGAACTTCCAATCAGGACAGTACAGTCGGTGCACTCAATGACAGCAGATCAATGAGTGGAGATGAGACGCCGGAGAGTGATATATTTGTGGCCGCTAATTTGCCGCTGATGATGGTAGTGGTGGTGGTGGTGTTGATCGATGTACTACTAATGAAGAGAGAAAAGGGGGAAAGAAATGAAATCAATTAGTGATTTGGAATAGGCTAGTGGAATAGGACAAATGCTGCAGCTGCTGCTGCTTATCCTTGATCAATGGCGCTAATTACAGGAGTGAAAAAATACACACAAACGCGTATTGAATATGTGTTGATCTTGTGTTCAGTCAGATCATCAGTCCATTCATTAGCGTCTCCAGTAGTGGACGTAAAGTGCAAAAGGAACAGGACGGTCGCTTCTCTAAGCTCTGCCTGGCAATCATCGGCAATCAAACCACAAGAGAAAGTGTAAGTGAGGAGTGCGTGACTAAGGAGAGCGGCCTTGAGCACACTTGAGCTTTAGATCGGCAACAACAACAGCAACAGCAGCAAAAAGTAGTAGAGCAGAGCAGAAACCGTACAGAGTGATAAGAGTATGTGCTGGTGGTGGTGGTGGTGATGATGATGTGGTGAAGATTAACTAGTTGAGAAAACCCATCACCTTCAGAGTCTTCCGAGTCATCGCAAAGTTAGATCCCCTGGGAGTGATGGGCAGTTCACCAGGGTCCTCTGGCGCTGTACTCCACCAAGCAGAAGTAGAAAAGCTGACCGATGGCCACTCCACTGGTNGTGATGATGTGGTGAAGATTAACTAGTTGAGAATACCCATCACCTTCAGAGAGTCTTCCGAGTCGTCGCAAAGTTAGATCCCCTGGGAGTGATGGGCAGTTCACCAGGGTCCTCTGGCGCTGTACTCCACCAAGCAGAAGTAGAAAAGCTGACCGATGGCCACTCCACTGGTGGACTTTGATATTAAAAGGACATGTTTGGCAGAGATAAGAAGAGTGCGACCGCAATGTAATGCACACATGCAACACACAGCAGAGCACATGAAGGTGCACTGCACAGACTGTTCTTCAAAGGCAAATGTGGTGCGAGAATGGACGGGCAGAGTGTTCAGAAGAATAGGCCAATGCACATGCCCACAGTACACAAGAACAACACAGAAAACAGCTAGAGAACAGCTGATGATCTAAGAAAGCAGCAGCAGCAGCAGCTGATGCAAATTGATCTTTGTTTCAACTTACGTGGTGTCTCAAACGTGTCTTGAACAAATCATTCTACGTTTGTCAATCAGTTGGAAGTGGTGGTGGTGGTCGCAGACAGAAGCTCTGAAATGTTTCTGACAAGAGTTGTGCTGACAGGAGCAGTCAGTTCAGCAAAAAATGAAAGTGCCTCGGAAGTGAGCTCATCAAGTGTCGGTGTGATTAGCGACAGCGGCGAAATGAGAAGAGAAACTGAGAAAGGGAACAAGGAGAAACAGGATGACTGCTGTTGCTGCTGTTGCGGTTGACGATAATGATGAAATGTGAAGGAGAGAGAATACAAGCTAACTGGCCGACGACTCGAACAACAATAGAGTGGAGATTAGGAAAAGCGGGAGATGATAATTTGTTGCACGATTATCACAACTGGGGATGGTTGCTGGTAGTGGTAATGATAAGAAAGTGAAGGCGAAGAAGTGGTCAAGTTGGGCAAGTTGTATTCCTTCTCAGCAACAGCAGCACCAGCAGCAGCACCAACAACCACGTCGGCAGCAGAGGCAGTAGATGAAAGTCGTAGATCTGTTCTTCTTTTCTCACTCACATGGTTGAATTTCAAACGGGAGAGAAGGAGCTTGTTAGCTCGTTCAAGTGTCTGTGTCTGTGCCAAGTAGGACAGAGTCGCCCGAGCGCAGATTGAAAGTGAAGGGAAAGCTGCCGCTGCCGAAGCTGACCTCTCTCTCTCTCCCTCCGACAAACGAGTTGTGTCCAGCAGCACTCGACTGAAAGCCTGTTCGCCTCCTCCTTCGTTGCTAGTTGTTCAGCTTCCATGAACAAAGGCAAAAGAGAGAAAGAAACGACAAGTGCAGCATTGCAACACAGACAGTCACTTTAATTTCGATTACGATTGAGCATTGCTTTACTTTTTCTGATCTCCGTCTCTCCCCGTTAGCCGTGAGAGTCCTTTGTTTTCTTTTTTGTGTTTTCATGAACAACAACGGCACAACAGCGCAAACGGTGGTTTTTTGTACAGTGTAATATATTGCAGGAGTGGGAGTAGAGGTAGTAGCTGACAGCTACCGCACACACAGTCCAATGTGTGTGTGTGTGAGTGTAATACAATAAATAGAGTAGTTGTAGTAGTAGAAGTTATTGCAGCAGAAGAGTAAAGGGGTCCATTGGAAGTTTACCTCCTGAAATAAGTTTGGGGTGATAAAACCAATGGTGAATAGAATAGAGAGAGTGAATACAGTTGGGGATAATAGTGCTCCAAGTGCAACAGATCGATCACAGTGTATGTATGTGTTTGTGGGGATTTCTTTCTTCAGGTCACAGCTCCATTTCATCCATGTTGTTATTGTTATTGTTGTTTTGATTATCATGACTCTCTTCATCGTCGTCGTCATCATCATCATCAGCGTCATTCTCACCTCCCTCATTCCAGGGAACATTGTTCCGTCGAATGGTGGGCGCTCCTGCTGCTGCTTCCGCTGTCGCCTCTCTTCTATTGTTGTTGCTGGTATTCTGGCGATGTCCTGTACAGGGTTCAAGAGAAGGGAGTGGTCATCGAGGTGATCGGTAGAAGTGGTAGTAGAAGTGAGAAGGAGGAGAGGTGGTGGTGGTGGTGGCAGAGGCAGAGGCGGTGGCAGGCGCAGAAGAGCTGTGTAGTGCAAAGCTTGGGGGAAGGCAGCCACAACGCTCGCGAGTGAAGCCAAAAACTGAAGCAGTAAAAGTGCCGCCGATCACGCCCACCCCTCTCGTTTGCTCGCACACACTACTACTCACTTAGGGTGGAGAAGAGGCTGAGAACGAAGCGAGCCGGCACAGTGACAGTGTCCCGAGACTCCTCCAGCAGGGTCTTGTTTCGANTGAAGCAGTAAAAGTGCCGCCGATAACGCCCACCCCTCTCGTTTGCTCGCACACACTACTACTCACTTAGAGTGGAGAAGAGGCTGAGAACGAAGCGAGCCGGCACAGTGACAGTGTCCCGAGACTCCTCCAGCAGGGTCTTGTTTCGATCCATTATCTGGCGATAGAAGATTCAAGTTAGCACAACCACCAACTCAACAGCATCACAGCACATACCTTCTTGGCCTTCTTCTCGTCGAACATGCTCTCCTCACTTTGAGGTGACCAGATTTTAATGTCGTAATCAATGCCGCTCGAGGCGAGAACTGAATGGAGAGGGGATGGTTCACGATTAGCAATGTGATATTCAGAGTATTATAAAGTCATGATCATACTTGGATCAGTGGGATGCGGCTGGAGGCAGTTGACGACGTGGTGGTCGCCCTCGGTGATCATCACCAGTCGCTGGTCCTTCACCGACCAGAAGAAGATGTGGCCACAGTCGCTGCCGCTGACGATGTAGTCGTCGCCCCAGAAGGTGGCCTCCTTTATCTGAAAGTGATTCGGTGGTTGGTTGAAACAATGAACAACAGCCGAATTGGTACACACTTACCACAGTTCGCGCATTTCGGTGTCCCTTGAAGATCTGGTAGTTCTTAATTTTGTACGTCTTCAGTCGCTTCTCCCGCTCGACGCTCTCCTCCGTCCGGCGGTACTTCATCGAGTGGCCCTCCATCTCATCGTCGTCATCCTCATCCTCGCCGTAATTCTCCGCCATTGCCTGCGGCCTGTGTGAAGCCTCGTGCACTGTGCCGAACCTCGATGAGGTCTGTCGGTACTGCTGGTGCCAGGAATCATTGGAGGAGGAAGATCGACTGGTGCGGCTCGTGCCTGCAGAGCGGGGGTGACGGCCACTGGCATTCGGGTGGCGGTGAAAGACACTGTCGTTAGTGGTGTCAGAGTCCTCGCCCAGCTCGCCCTCATCACCGTCGTCCATCATCAGCTCGTTCTCCAGAGTGTTATCTTCAGCTTCGTGCTCCGGTTCCACCACCGCCGCCGCCTCCTCCTCTTCGGCCACCTCCACCTCCAGTCGCCCAGAGACCTGAGGTATGGGAGAGTTGGACCCCTGGCTGCCGGCGTCAGTGTTTCGGCGCCAGTATCCACCGGGCTGACCGCTGCTGCTGCTGTTGCTGTTGCCGCCGCCCCAGTCGCTGTCGTCAAAGAGGCGAATGTAAAAGGCCGGCTGCTCCGGTGCATAGGAAGAGGCCGAGTTGTTAATGTCTCCTGCCTGTGCATTGCCCGAATCCTCGTCCATGTTGGCCGAAGATGATGGCGGTCGAAAAGCTCCTGTACTGGTAGAGGCCGCTGTGAAAGGTGATGGGTCAGCATGTGAAGAAGCACCAGTTGTGGAAGTGTCATTAGACACAGCAGCGGCAGCAGCAGCGGAAGTTGTCCTTTGAGGCTCGGACGCAGATGATGCAGCCCGCGAGCTTCTCTGCGGAGAGTCCATCGACAAACTCTCGAGGAGGCTGCTGCTTCTGCTGCTGCCACTGCCCCCAAAGCTGCTTCGCAGAAAGAGACTGAGAATGTTGTTCAGGTGGCGAATGCGAGCCTCGGAAGTGCGCGTCCGTTGTTCAGTGTTGTTGTTGTTGTTGTTAGGGGTGGCTGATGAAGCCGAGGAAGAGGAGGCCGAGGAGGAAGAGGAAGAGGTGCCGCCCGCAGCACTACTTGCACTGCTGCCCGCTCTAGCCGCCAATGAATTAGAGGCAGTGGTGCTGTTGCTGTTTGCTGAAGTCGTCGCCGCCGTTGAAGTGCTCGCAGCAGTCGAAGCCGCCGACGATTGATCTGCCGCAGCACCCGTTGAACTGTCCCCACCATCACCTGAATTGGCGGCGCGAATCTCATCTGAGGTGAGTGCATTGGGGCCCGTGTCCGACCAGTCGCCGCGCAGGCGAAAGCGCTTGAACGCACAGTTCGGCCGATCTGACTTGTCCGGAATGATGTCCTCTTCTGCGGAGAGTTTGATGGTATTTCGGACGTCCTAGAAGGAATACAGAGAAAAACATGAGCAAGTCCTCAAATGACAGGACAGCACACAAACATACATTCAAATCAAAGAGATAGAGAAAGTCATTGGAGAAGGAGGCGAGCAGCTGCTGACAGTTGCGACTGTAGGCGAGCGAGGTGATCCGGTTGGTGGTGCTGATGCCGTCGTAGGTGAACTTGGCCAGCACTGAGGAGTCCACCTGGCGGCCGGTGCCGCAGCCGGCGCCGCCCAGCGATCTGGTGCTCAGCATGCGCCGGTCGTAGATGCGGACAATGGAGTCAGAGCAGCCAATGGCCAGCTGCCAAGGCATCAGTCCGTTGACGGCAATGGCCGTCACCGGGTGCTCCGCCCGAATCAGCACGTCCTCCATGCAGCGGTGCGACTGTCGGAGCAGACTGGAGCGCCCATAGCGAGAGTGCGACGGGTGGTGCTTCAGACAGCTCGTCTTCACGCGCAAGTCGTACCACCGAACCGTCTGGTCGTGGCTGCAGGTGAGAAAGGTGTGCGAGTCATTGGGCACCGTGGCAATGTCGTACACCGACTCCTCCTGACAGTCGAAGATGTTCTTCGTGGAGGTGTCCGGCCGGAGGAGGTCGGTGTAGATGATGACGCCGTCGCCGGAGCAGGAGATGACCTGATGAAGGAGTGAGACAAAAAGTTAAGGTGAGATTGAAGTCACAATGACCTATAAAGCAGTCCTACCTGACTGTCAGCCGTGCCGGGAAGGTACTTTGCGCTGAAGATGTTCGTAGCGTGGCCGGTGCGAATGCTCGCCTTGATCTCATTGGTAAAGGCGTCGGTGATGCACAGATGAAGATCATCTGAGCCGGAGAGCAAGTACTGCCCGGTGCTGTTCCAGCAAATGGTGTTTACCTTGAAAGAAGAGGGTGAACCGTTATCTTAAACTGTTACCAAGAATGAAAACTCCAGCTTACGCATCCACTGTGAACATTGAGTTTCTTTTCTAGGCACATTCGCTGCAGCAGATAGAGGTTATCTAGAAGTGAAGGTGAAGTAAAGATGCCATTTAGAAATCAAACCATACTGAAGCTGGTCTTCATGGCACTTACTTTTGGCCGCATTGTACAGCGACACTGGCTGACAGGGCGAGGAGTGGCGCTCGTAGATGAGCTTGTAGAAGAAGTTTCGATGATCCATGAGTGGCTGGGGATGATGTTGATGAGTCCTTGATGAAAAGTCCTTGATTCAGTCTTTCAGTTTTTGGTGAGTTCAAGTACGACTGACTGACTGGCTGCCCAACTACTGCCGCCCGAAACGGTAGTGTACTAAGCGGGGGGCTACCGATCGATGGGCGCCGAACATGGCAATGGTGTGTGTGTCTTGTTCTCTATGCTGAATTGTCTCTCTCTGTGTGTTGTAGTCGTGGTGGATTCGGGAGTCACTACCACACACACACTGACTAGTTCAGACCAGCCAGCCTCGGACAACAAAAAGTGATGGTGGAAGGAAAGGAAAGAAGAAGGTGAGAGAGCGGTCGAAGGCAGACGCAGCGGCAGCAGCCGAAACCAGCGTCTGCCACAGCTGTGGTCGCTGTGAGGAGTAGGTAAACAGAACAGGACCCAACACAAAACAGCAGTCGCAGCGGCAGCCTGTAAATGCGCTTCATTGACTAGCACTGTGTGAACGAGT